GCTAGTGGTAATTGAGAGTTAATGACTCAGAAGGGAAGCAGGAGGCTCAGCGCAGGGAGGAAACAGCAAATACACAACACTTCAACTGCAACAAACACAACACAGCCTTGACATTTTCAGATTTCAGGCCCCATAGCTACAGCATCACCCATAAGATATCTTGTTGGGGCAAAGTGGCATGAGTTACTTAATGAACAGGAACGCCTGTGGCCTTTGAGAGCACCTCTGAAGGCACAGATGCCACTTTTGACACATTCGTTTATTTTAGCTCTCCTACAATATATTAAACCTCAAAAATTAACTCATGACCAACATTAAATATAAATACCATAAAACTGATGATTTTGTTAAAGAGGACCACTTGGCATAATAGAAAGTTTAGGAGCAATATACTTTCCATTTATTCCTCTACTAGGAGGAAGTTTTTACCCCATAACATGAAAATAATAATATTCATGTTGTCAAGTCTCCGATATTCTCAGTATTAACTGAAAGCACTTAGTGTCTGCGAACATAAATTTATGTGTCAAATTGGCTAGTCCACAGTACCTAGATTTGGCCAAACACTAGTCTATATGCTGCTGTAAAGGTATTTTCTAGATGCTATTCATATTTAAGCCAGTAGATAGAATAAAGCAGATTGCCCACCATAAGGTAAGGGGGACTCATCCAATCAATGGATGCCTTAAAAGAAAAAAGACACAAGACTCCCCACCTCCTCAAAAAGGAATTCTGTCTCTAGATTGCCTTATGACTTGGGCTGCAATATCTACCCTTCCTCGGTCACCAGCCTACCATACTTCCCTACAGATTTTGGATTCTCACCCACCATAAATATATAAATTAATTCCTTAAGATCTATCTATTGAACAATGTGTCTACATGTACATAATATTGATTCTGTTTCTCTGGAGAACCCTGACTATTACAGTATCTAGGAATGTACTTGTACAGGTTAGTTTCAAAGTGCTTCTGAGCAGAAAAACAATTGCCTCACTTCCCACCCCTGGTAATAAATGAGAGTTACCTGAGCTGTGAGGGAACAAAGCACAGCAGAGGGGAGTACATATTGTAGGTGATGAGAGTGAGAACAAACCAGATTTGAACACCGTGCAGAGAGCAGCACAGGATGAAGAGATTGCATAGCATCATCATCGAGCAAAATATAAGGCCACTGGAATCCCATCTTAATGAGTGCAGGTTACATGTTTATTCCATTGAAGATGTGAAGTCCCCAGATGAGGCTACTGGTCACAGTTGCGTGCTACTTAACGCTACTGCATGCATACTGTCTATGGATGATCCTGCAGGTTGGATCTTCCTTATTCCCTGAGATTCTCCTCAGTACACTCAAACTTTTCACTGTGGATGGACATCTGCTTCATTGATGGCCCAGCACAGCCCTGAGGCCCCAGAATTACCAGAAGGAGTGATGCTCAGTGGTTCAGAGGTGATGGGGAGAGAATAGCCCTAGAATGGATCTGCACATTGCAAGTCCACACCTGGTATCCACCCACATTTTTGAGTCCAGGATAACTTCTCTGGTTGTTTGCTGAGAAGACAGAGTGTAACTGGGAGCAACTTAAAATTTCTATATTCTCTTTACCAAAGGGCTTCATTTTAGGACCATGAGCCTCTGTTAAAAAGCAGAGTCACTCAGTATGCAGATCTGTTTGGTTGTATATGAAAATTCAGGTCTTTATTTCCTTGTAATTAGGTACTTCATCCTGAACTGGAGGACTGGACATTCCACTAAATGAGAAGATGTGAATGTCCCTGTAGATTCATTTCTCCATAATTCAAGAGCACAGATTTTAGCTAGTTAGTGACAGCCTCAGTCATTGTAACAATGGGGTGACAGGATTGCCGAGGTCAGAGGGAAAATTTAGAAGATCAATTTCCTCAATATTCCGTTGATGAGCATGGAGATATGGATGTGTACATACAGACAAACACACACATACAAACATATACTGGACACATTCACCTTGGAATTCTTCATTTCAAAAGGTCATCCAAAGATGAGGAAGTTGGGAATTCCTGGGGACAAGCAGGGATGAGAGCGGATACCACTTGACCAATCAGTGCAATTATTATGTTTTTTAACTGTGAACTTGGTTGAGGGAAGAGTTTTGAATAAAAAATACCAGAAGACATGGGGGTCCCAACCACTTGCTGAATGAACATCCACTGAAGAAATAATTCCCCTCCTATCTCACAGAAGGTGGAGAACAGGCTTTCTTCTTCATGTCTGAGAACTTTCATTTCACCGCAAAAGTAAGGCTGACCATAGCCCACAAAACACCTACACCACTCTTAAGAAATTCCACAATTATACTTCTGACTCTCACTGTATCATTGTGAATAATAACTTTTTCAAGTTGGGTAAAGAGAGCCCAAATTGAAATTCAATTCGGTGACATAGAAGTACTTCAGAAAAAAAAAAAATAACGAAAGACTGGGAGGCTAAACAGAAACATTTATTTACAATAAGCTAAAATTTAAAAAATTATAATCCTTTAAGTTATTGTATTTCTTTAAAAAAGGCAAGGATAATAATGTTTAAAGTAAACTAATATGAATTCTTAAAATCTTTCATTTCAGTCACAGTGAGAAGGAGGCAAAAAATAATATACACCACATCAGATTACTGCTTATGTGCTAGAAATGATGGAAATTACTGAAAACATTGTTTTTTAATTTTCACAGTACTACATTCAGTAAATTTCATATTTTTTTACAATTAAGAAACCAAAGCCTTTAAATTTTAGTTCATTTGGTAATGGCAATTATGCAGTAGCACCAGAATTATAATCAAATTCTAATTGTGATACACACAAACACACACACACACGAACACACTGCACTTATGTATCACAGGCAGAGTTGGAGTAGTCTTGACAGCAATACAGTGGTATCTTGGACCTGAAAAATGAAACCTCAGTGAAAAGAATCCTGCTGTTCCTGTAAACACAAACCTGTTTCATAAGACACTGACAGAGCTCACGTTTTTCAGCAATTAGTATAGCGAGTATGAATTATTAAGTTGAGACACTTAGGTGCTTTATACTTAATGACATTTATCTACTCACAATGACCTAAGTATGGTGCAGTTCTTATACAAAGATTATTCTAAGAAAATAAGCACAGCACTTAAGTATATCATTAAAGGTTACACTGGTAGTATGTGGAGAGACAGACTTGAACACAGACACTCTGGACATAAAACTTCCACTCTCAGTACATATTATTTATGATATTTTCTCTTTATGTCCTTCATGAATAAAGGGCACTGTGGGTAAACATACATACCACTAAGGACTCATTCTTTCGCGGATAACTTCTATACAAGGTCTTCCATAATATAGAAAAATTACTGAAAAGCCTTCCTTCATCTTCTCAGTCAGTGGTAGAGGAAATGAGGCAGAAAAAATTTGGCAGAGGTGTTACCTCAATACTTATTTTTCTTTATGAGGCTTCAGTCTTTTTGCCTTGAGAGTAGGGCAATGATAAATTAAAACTATCTCCTAATGCCAATGTGATATTGGGAAAAATATGACACAAGGCAAACTGTACATCCTATTGGTGAATGAGGGATGTTCAAATGGAAAAAAGGGAGGCAACGAGGAAAAGATGATGAAAATGTTGCAAATTAGCTGTGTGTTAAGTGCACCCAGGGTAAGAGGCACTACAAAGTGAGTAAGTGTGTAAGGAGCTTCAAGAGCTTGGTAAGCACAGTGTCATGGGGGCAGGACATGTCATAGGATTGAAATATGGAAAAATTCCCTGAGAAAAGTGACATGAAGAGAATTTATAGATGAGAAACCCGTGGTTTGTGACATTGAAAAATGAGACAGTGCCAGCCTCATAGTCTAGGAAAATTCCAACACGAAGGGGAGGAACAGTCAGGGAAAGGGTTAAGATCAAGGGATCTGAGGAGGAAGAGTTCTCAAAAGCATTATATTCAGAGTGATTCCGTAACCCTATAACCCAGTAACCATGTTTAGGTTGATATCTAGAGTAAACATTTTGATAATTTTCACCTGGTCTAAATGAAACCCTCAAGTTGAATTCAGGCAGTATTCTACTATATACCCCCAGCATCCAGGCAGATTTCCCTGACACATCTACCTCCCAGTAATGTTTCCCTGATCTGATATCTGGGGAACCCAGAACACCATAATCGTAATAATCTCCATGCTGATATACATTTGTGTTTGGTCTCAGTTGTCTCCAATCCTCAGAAAAGGAAACATTTGACAACCTAGAGTTGACAGGATCCAGTCTCATGCGAACTGTAGAAAAATTACAGAGTTGAGTGAGAGATATGATGTAGCTTTATCACACATCATAAATGTATGATGTTGTGAGAGGGATGTTGAAAATAACTTGAGTGGGAACTGGGAAGAACTTTATTCTCTCCTTGGGGAGATAAATAACACTGCAGAAACATAATGTGTATGTCTGTGTTAGAGGGGAAACATGGGTCTTAAACATGAGATCTACTAGAAAATGCACAGCTCTGAAAGATGAAGAGAACAGGGTAGCGTGAGGATACTGTGAATTCTACTTACCCCAGTAGCGTTGCTTGTCTGTGAACTCTGAAATGACAAAAATCCATAATATTAAATATAAGGTAAGGAGTCTGCACTGAAATCTATTTCCTCTCCAGATTAAGGAAGGGTTGGAGACTATGTCAAGATAGTGAACTGGTGAATGAGAGGATGAACCAGACACTTGTCCACTCTCTATTAAATTTGACCATATAATCAGCATGTGATATCCATCCTTGTTTGTCTCTTTCATCCACACCTAGAAATTGTACTGTCTTCCCCATTTATCCCTGCTGTCACAAGATTCCCACAGCCACCCACTTGCTCTAGCATTCCTCACCTTTAAACAGTCGCAGCATCCCAATCAGATCAGGAGCTCGGAACACTCTCCTTTGTTTCATAGGAAGAGGATTTGGCTGCCTCAGAGTCAAGGTCTCACTCCTAGGGAGACAAAAATTGACCCACACAACTCTGACATTTTGTCCCTCCAAAACCATTAACTTTCTATCTTTTCACCCACTGATTCATTTGAACCTTCTTCCCTGAAAGCTCTGAGAAAGGAGATAGTAGAGTGCCGACCTGGGAGCCAGAAGAACTGTGCTCATGTCCACCTTCTCATTTACCCTCTGTGTGACCTTGGAAAGATCTTGACCTCTCAGGAACAGATTCTTACTTTCAAAATAATATCATTAGCCTATCCCTCCCTACTTCCCAGAAATGATGTGAAATTATATGAAAGAATAGATTTAACAGGTAAAACAAGATATTGTTATTTAAAAAAGATTAATGTATGGAAAGGCAACTGCACAGATGTGGCTTCTCAAGGACGTGACCAGAAAATGACGTTGCAGAACCTGGTTACTGGGTGTTTGAAACATATCAAGTGTGGGAATACTGTCTAAAGACCAAGATCTTCACGGTCTGCTCCCCAGTAGGGAGGCCCTCGGCATAGCATCTTAGATTTCATGTTCTCAGGGAACAATTACAAACACTTGGACACTCAACTTTATGAACACCAAACTGATAGTCATCTGAATTTCATGTGTTTGGAAAGAGCTCGATGCTGTCACGTAGGTGTGCAAATTACACACAAGGTTGTTGTCTTTCCATTCTGGCTTCCAAAGTATATGACAAAGACAGATCAATTGTTCGCACCTGGGCCAAAAGATTCTTTGAGATTCAAGTCTGTTTTTGGAAATCTAATTCGAGGACATGTTAAGTAACTCATTCCAGGTTAAACAACTTGCAAGCAAACTTGCAAGCAAAGAGACTGAGCACCAAATATCTACTCTTGGTAAATATTCTGTTTATGTACTTCTTGCTTTACCTCTGTGATAAACATGGGGTGTCATTGCTAAAAGCCACAGACCCTTAAGGATTCATTGTTTAGGGACAGATTTCATGAACTCTCCTAGATAACATGGATAGGGCTGACAAGTATTCCTTTGCTAATTTGTTAAGCAGTAGAGTGAATGAGGAAGAAAAGAAATGTCAGATGAGTAACAGCAATACTATTCTTTCTATAGGAGGGATTAGATGTGTTTCCCTTGCAAATACAAGAAAAAAAAGTATTCTCTCCTCATGGAAAAAAAGATATTAGGAAGAAAAGTTTCAAGCTTTCACTTTATAGTAAGGAATTGTTCAGACTGTTATGCATTGCATTGTGTTCCCTCAAATTCATATGTTGTAGTCCTAACCCCTAATACTTCAGAATGTGACCAAATTTGGAGATGGGGTTGTTATAGAGGTAACTAAATTAAAATAATGTCATCAAGATGGTCCCATTCCAGGATGTCTGGTGTCCGTATACAAAAGGAATTTAGGGGCTGGCCCCATGGCATAGTGGTTAAGTTTGCATGCTCTGCTTTGGCAGCCTGGGGTTTGCAGATTCGGATCCTGGGTGCAGACCTAGAACCACTTGCTAAGCCATGACGTGGTGGCATCCCACATAAAGTAGAGGAGGACTGGCACAGATGTCAGATCAGCGACCATCTTCCTCAAGGAAAAAGGGGAAGATTGGCAACAGAGGTTAGCTCAAGGCCGATCTTCCTCACACACACAGAAAATGAATGAATAGAAAGGAAATTTAGACATAGAGCCATGCACAGTGAGAAGATGATGTGAAGGGGCACAGGGAGAAGACAGCCATCTACAAGCCAGAGAGAGAAACCACAAACAGAACCCTTCATTACAGCACTCAGAAAGATCCAATCCTGCTCACATCTTGATTTTGGACTTTTAGCCTTCAGAACCGGGAGAAAATAAACTGCCATTATTTAAGTCACCCAGTCTCTGATACTTTGTCAGGTAGCCCTAGCTGACAAAGACATTCTAAACAAATGAATGGGGAAAAAAGGAAGAGGCAGTCAAAATGGTGCAAATCAAGTCAGGGGCAGGAGATGAGCACCCGGACAAGGGCACTCAGCAGAGGTGGGTGAGAGATGAAGAATGTTCAGGAGCTCGGTGGGCACAGGATGATGGGGCGTGGACAGTTCCAAGGATTGAAATATGGACAAACAGCCTGAGAAAAGCAACATTTAGAGAACTTGTAGATGAGAGACCCATGGTTTGTGACATTGAAAAATGAGACACTGCCTCCTTCATAGTCTAGGAAAACCCCAACACGATGGGGAGGAACAGGCACGGAAAGAGTCAAGACATGGTAACCAGAGGTGGAAGAGTCCTCAAAGGCATTGTACGCAGATTCATCCTGTAATCCTATAACCCAGCAGCCAGCTCGAGGTCTGAATTTGGAGTAAACTTTTAGACGATTTTCTTTTCTGAGCTTCAACTGATAAAATAATCTTCTTGCGTGGTAAAATTTATGATTGCATACCCCCAGGATCCAGGCAATCTTTTTAGACACATCTACTTCCCAATAAAATTTCCCTGAGGAGAAACTTTGGAGGCCCACGGCATCAAAAACAGAAAAATCATATGAACCTGTATCCCCAGATGTAACAGGTTGCATAATTCTCACTCGTCTCTGATCCGCAGATATAACAATGTTACTAGAGCTAGTTGGTCTCAGCGTCACGTTCACTGTAAGAAAAATCACAGGGTCAGGTGAGGGATATAGGATGGGTGTGTCTTGTGACATTGTGAGGAGAAATATTGTGAATTGACTGGGAGGAACTTGTGGTGATGTGTCAGAGATGACTAGGACACTTAAGAGCTGTTGTATGTATGTGTGTTTGGGGAAGAACTCATGAAGCTAAGATCATGGGACATATTAGTAACCACAACTTCTGAAAAGGGATCAGAACATGGAGATTTGAAGACCCTGTAACTTCTTCTTACCCCAGTAGCATTGGGCCTCTGTGAGCTCTGAAATGACAAAAGTTGCAATGATGTTGTTAGAAGCAAAGGAGTAAACACTAGTCCCTGTCCTCTTTCTAGAGTGGAGACAGGAGTTGGGATTATTGTAAGGCTATGAACTGGTGAATGAGAGGACAAAGCAGATACCTGGCCATTCCCCCTCAGATCAGATCATCTTCAGAACAGAATCTCTCTCTCCTTATCAGGCCTACCTCCCCTCTTTGACCCTAATCTGGAAACAGCATCCATTCTCCCATTTTTCCCTGATACTACAAGAATTCAACACCCACACTCTTCCATGTCTCTCCTCACCTTTAAACACTTGCAGCATCCCGCTCAGATCTGGAACTCGGAATGCACACTTCGTTTTCCTGGAAACCATTTTTGGTTCTTTCAAGGTCCAGGTTTCACTCCTAGAGAAGACAAAAGTTGATGATCATCACATTTCTGACCTAGGTCTCTCCAAGACCTTTGCCTCCCTCACCTTTCATCCATTGATGCACTGAAATACTCTTCACTGAAGAGCCTGCGGATGGGAGAGAGGAGAGCCCTGATGATGCAACCAGAAAAAACATGCTCATGTCTACCTTTCCATTTACCCTCTGTGTGACACTGGGAAGGTATTGACTTTTCAGAGGCATAGTTTCTTCCTTCCAAAATAAAATAATTAACCTCTCCCTCCCTATCTCCAAGAAATCATATGAAAATATATGTAACAATGGATATATTACACCAAAAAAATAAACTTTGGTACATTAAAAAAATTAATTTCTGGTGAAGTCACTGAATGGATGTGGGTTCCCAGAGAGAGAATCAGAAAATGGGCCTGCAGAAACTGGCTGCCAAGAGTTTAAGACATATCAAGTGTGGGAATACTGTCTAGAATGAACCAAGATCTTCAAAGTCTGCTCCCTAGTAGGGAGGCCCTCGGAATAACATCTGCGATTGCAGTTTCTTTGGGAAAAATTATAAACACTTGGAAAAGAAGATATTATGAACAACAAAGTAATAATAGTCTGAATTTCACGTGTTAGGAAATAGCTTGATGCTGCCAGATAGGTGTGCAAATTTAGACACAGAGATGTGGCCTCTCCATTCTGGCTTCAAATGTCTGTGACTGAGATGGATTAATTGTTTGCACCAGGGCAAAAATATTCCCTGAGGTTTAAGTCTGTTTTGGAAAACGTAAACAGAACCACATAGATGGACCTGGTCCTCTATTTCTATGGCAGAAATTTAAACATAAAAGAGTTGTCTCCAATTATGGGTGATTTTTGGCAGATAAAGAAGACACTACCTTCCCATGGCAAGTAAAGCTCCTGTGAAATACAGGCACCTGAGTTAGATACAGGCACACAAGGTGAAGAAAACTGATAAAGTCACAGCGCTCTGAAAATGCAACACATTATCCCTAATATTGCTATGGACCCAAACTCTGCAACTTCTCACCACCTAAATCCCCTACCAATGAATCTGGTTCATTCTCTATAGTTACAGAACACTCAAGCCGTGTATGTGAAGAGAAAGTTAAAATAAAACTACTACTCAAATTTCCTGCCTTGAGTGATATTTTATTTTCATTGACCACCAGATAACTCTGAAGACTGCAAAACTCTTTTCACGGCATGGAAGGACAATCTCTGGTTTCTCTCACATACCTTTGCAGGATGCCATTTACATCCTAGGGAGAAAAGAGAAAATATTAGTCAAGAAATAATACCTCCTCCCCACTTACAAAACTTCCTTGAACACCCACCACCCCCTGATGTGGTGAGAAAAGACTTGGTCCAAATTGAGAGCCCAAAGTAAAGAAAAGACCCAGGATAAACACTCCAGAACATTCATGAGATATTGTCATGTATCTTAAAAGTTAGTAGCAGCTTTGAGACTTGTGGAATTACAGAAGGAGGCTTCCAGAATCTGGATGTGAGACATATTTATGAGCAAAACAAGCGGTTCCTACTATTTTTATCCAAAATGCATAAGGCTCTCCATGAGATGATTTCAATAATTCATGGCTCTTTCATGATTGAATGAAAATGTAATTTGATGTACTATTATTTACCAAGCATTATGCCAGGATTTATACAATCAAAGATGAGTAAATAGTCATAATATTCCTCAAGAAGTTTACATGGCTTTTGCTGAGGGTACAGGCAAACAAATGTACTAATGTGGCATTTTTCAAGTCTATCTCTTCTCATTTTATACACTGTCTATAAGAGACCTCATCTACTCTCTTCACTTCGACATGCATGCATGTCTAGTTAATTTCCAACACTTTACTGTTACTCAGTATTGCCTCTTACATTCAGGTTAATATATTTAGTATTTAAAAAGCCTCAGGAACCAGTAACTTAGGATGTGTAATAGGTAGCAGTATTCACAAACCAAATTGTCTCCTCTCTTAGACCCATTGTCCATAATGTTACCAATATCCACTTGGTCACTGTCTTGAAAAGGACAATATTTACCCTCCTCTTCAGTCTCTACCAAGCCAGTTTAGTCCACATTCTTGACAGATTTTAGCCATGTGATCTTCTTTATCATCACAGATATTACTTTATTTGTTTGAACAAATAAGTACCAATACATTTGGGCACTTTTATCCTGGATTTACATCCTCCATGTCACCAAACTAGGCCAACAGCGGGGCCTACAAATGCCAAAACAAAAGTTTTGCTTTCCATGTTAGAGCTTTTGTTTCAATATGACAAAAACAAAATAAAACTAGATTGAGTAGAGAAAAGTATGAGGGGTAACTATAGTTTTGCTCAAAGATTATTTTTGAAGCTCAGACACAGTCATCAGGATCTGGTCTATGTCCTTCTACAAATTCCATTTATTCCCTCTATATTGACTTTTTCCTGAGTTCATGAAGGGAACATAAATCTGCTGATATATGCTACAGAAGAAAAGAGAAAGTCTCTTCTCAGTTATCATAACTAATTCAGAGGTCTGCATGGCATTGGCCTGCACTGGATCGGATGCCAATATTGAAAGCATCACTATGTTGTCGTTGGAAGGAAATGAAGCAGAGTTGAAGGCAAATTTCTATATTTTACTAGAATTCAACTATTATTTATCAGAAGTAGATCATGACAGGACAACATCCATATTGTAACCATGAGAGTAGCCACTAGGAAAAAACTAAAAATAAAAAAAATAAAAACAGAGAATAGGAAAACAAAATTTTATATTAGAAAGATGTCTTTAACACAAAAGGAGCTTCTTAAGAAGAAAGAGGTGAATAAAAACTACAGAATACATAGCTAAAGCAAATAGCATATGCTAAATTTAAATACAATCATATCAATAGTTGCATTAAATGTCATTGTCTTAATACTCTAATTAAAAAGCAGAGATTGTTTCACTAAATAAAAAGTAAAATTCAATTATTGCTATCTAAGATATATTTTGGATTCAAAAATACTAATAGGGCACTTGTAAAAGTATAGAAAAATATATACCACACAAGCAATAATCATAAGATAGCTTAAGTGCCTAGATTATTATTATTAGATAAAAGGAAATTTAATACAATAAATCTTAAGAGAGAACGAGAGGGAAATTTCATAATGACAGAAAGTTCAGACATCAAGAACATATACCTGTTATAAATGTATACGCACCTAACAACAAAGCTTCAAAATACAAAGAGCAATATTAAAAGGAAAAATAATTAAGGTTAACTACATATAGATTTCAATAACTCACTCTCAATAATTGAGTGAACAGCTTGCATGAAAACTATCAAGGATATAGAAGACATAGACAATAGTATCTACCAATTTACAGAACAGACATCTATTGACATTTTCACACATAAATGCAGAATACACGGAATTTTCAAATTCATGAGGAAAAACTTTCTGGACATACAATATTTTAACCTACAAAACCACTGTCGATATATTTAGAAGATTGAAATAATGAAACATATGTTTCTGACTTCAGAGAAGAACTACATTTGAAGTCCACAGCAGAAGAAAAAGTAAGAAATCACTAAATATGTTTTAATTAAACAACACACTGTAAAATATCCCAAGGCTTAACAAATCTGTCACAAAGGAAATTTGAAAATAAGATGAACTGAGTGAAAATAAAAGACAAATAATCAGAAAGTATGTCATACGGCTAAAGCAATGAATTTATATCTTCGAACACTAGATCAGAAAAGATGGTCTCAAATCAGTGATCTATGTTTCCATTTTAAGAAAAGTACAAAAGGAGCAGCAAACTAAAGTCACCACACACGTGCACACTTGCACATACACACCCAATGAAAACATTAATGGTGAGAGCAGAAATAACAGATATAAAAGATTTAAAAATAGATGAAATCAATGACAGGAAAAGCTTGTTTCATGATAAACATTAACAAAATTGACCAAACATAATTAAACTGACAAAAAAGAAAGAAAAAAAGTAAAGCAACAAAATCAGGAATAAGAGAGGGGACATTACTGGGAGTCCTGTAGAAACTTAAGGGTTTGTAAGGGATTATTATGATTAACTTTACATCTAGAAGTCAGACAACTGAGACAGAATGGGCAAGTTCCTACAAAGACATACATTACCATAAACTGCAACAAGGACTGTAAAAAATCTAAATACACCTAATATCGTAAAAATAAAATTATTTTAAATATTTCCAAGAACCAAAGCCCAGAGTAAGAAGGTTTCACTGGTGAAATCTATTAAATATTTAAAGAATAAATAATACCAGTACTTCACGATTTCTTTTAAAAAAAACAGAGAAGGGGGTGCAGCTCAATTGCTTCTCTAAGGTATAAAAAGAAAAACCTGTTGGAATCTGAAGTGCATTTGTTTGTCTATGATTAAGCTGGGTCATGATGAGGTATCTCATAAGTACTTCACACTAGGTCACTGATAACAGGGGCCTACTCAATATCACTGGATACAATGGATCTTCTTTCCAAGGTCAAATTTTGCACGGTACTTGATAAATTAAATAAAAATGAGATTTTTCCCTTGTTATCCATGCTTTCAATTATTCCTATAACCTCTGAAATAGATGCAGGGAAGATGGGAGTGCAGGACCAAAGGAATCTTAATGTCACCAACACAAAGAACACAGCAATACAGAGAAGGAAACTGCTCTGCTTTTTCATCAAATCTCAGACTCTGGGACTTCTTCCCAAGTCTTACCTGCAGCATCTCCAGTGCTGACCCCTGCAAGCGATGCTCCAGATCTGAGATGACAGAGCTCACCAACTGCCTCTGCTCCACCAGCTCATTCTCAGCCTCTGCCAGGTTGTGTAGAACGTCTCCTGTCTCATTCTTCAGCTTTAGTAGCTCCTTCTGCTCCTCATCGTCCAGGATACCTCTCAGTTGTTTAAACCCTGCCTGGATACGTTGTGTCTCACTTTCTATTTGATTCTTCAGGAATGAGAAAGAGAGAGGAACTCAGGCTCTCATGCAGATATTAGAAGCCAGACAAAGAAGACTACTGTTTGGGAAGTTCTCACAGGGCAATGAGATAGAAGCAAGGGAGAAATTCTTGGGCATGCTGATTTTTCCAATTATTTTCTCTTCATCACATTCAAAATAATGCCCTCATGTCTGTAATATTGAGGCCAACCCTGAGCCAAAAAAAGGATAGCTGTGTGTGGCTCAGCTTTCACACAGCTTTCCAGAGCAATGCAGCCTCCCTGCATTACTCCTGACTCTCACCCCACATTGTTCCAAAAGTTGAACACTCAGGACACAACCATGAGCCACTGCAAAATGCCTTCGCGTAGAGGAGACAAAGTCTCAAAAATATGACGGGAAAGGAACATAGCATTCAGTAACCATCCTCATCGGACAGTCCATCTATGGGAATACGTCCTCCAAATATCTATGTTCATATGTGACATGCTCACTTTCCAGCCCCACCCCATTAGGGAAAGGATAAAGAAGACGACTATTCAAATGACTTTTGGACATATCAAATATCAGGAAACAAAGAGGAAGGGGAGCTCTTTGTACCTAACACCCAAGGTCTTGCTCAGATTTCAGTCTAACACCCTCAGGAAGTGACCCTTCCTACCTTCCAGGAAGCTGTCTCCTCTCTCACATTAGCTTCCAACATCTCAACTTCCTGCTGCTCCTTCCTCATCCTCTCTAGAGCAGCCTGGAGCTTCTCCTTGGAGAGAGGAATCAAGGCAAAGTCAACCTCTGGGTTTTCTTGCATCGGAATAGAGGATAAGTTGGGAAGAAATGAGGCTGATCTCCAAGACAGACTAGAGTTTAAAGAAACTGAGAGAACAAAATAAGAATCTATGACTTGGAAGAAAACCTGAGGTGATGAATGTGTCCTTTAATACTCAGGTTATAGAAGTCAGCATCTCTTCCCCAAGAGAAGATTGATTCTCTTTGTTCTAGAAGAATAAAGGTGATCCTGAGGAAAGAACATACATTTCAATCCATGCAGCTCCCAGTTAACCCTGTTCCAAGAGATAACAAGAGCTTTTCTTGGGCACCAAATCGCCATCTACTAGCACAAGGTACCAAAATATCTATTTCTGGCTAAAAGTCTGTACCATAGGCTTATCCTTTTATAATTGGATGGAATGCATAGAAATGTCCTTTAGGCCTTGGAATGCAAGTATAGGAAGTGATCTCAAGCCTCAGAGTTGTTTTCAAGATCACTGAAGTTGAATGCACTGTGTATATTTCCCATGAATTACCATTCTACCTTGTCTTTTTCCATGATGGTCTCTTACCTGGTACTCCTGCACAACCTCCTCTACGAGGAATGTTTGGTGGTCACGGTGTTCCTGAGAGCGCTCACAAAGCCGGCAAATGACCTTCCCATCCTCCTTACAGAAGAGCAGGAGTTTCTCTTCATGACGTACACAAAGATCTCTTTTCTGCTCCTCTTCTGGCCTCAACTTGACCTCCCTGAGCCTCTCCACTATGTTGGCCATGGGCCGATTAGGCTTCAGGTTCCCAGGCTTGTAAGGGATTTGGCACACAGGGCACCTTCTCTCTGCTCCTTGGTCAATCCTGGAGTCTTTGTTTGCAGTGATGCAGGCTTGACAGAAGTTGTGGCCACAGTCTAGGCTCAGGGGTTTTGTCAGGAGCTCCAGGCAGATGGGGCAGGTCACCTCCTCCTTTATGCCCACCAAGATTCCTGAAGCCATCACAGCTGTTCCTCTGTCCTACCTGTCCTAACTTCTGAGACTCCTCCTATGCACAGATCCCTGTATGATTGGGAAGGTAAAGGGGGGCAGACTAAGAAAGGAAGTAGTAAAATTATACCAATTGTGTAGAAATGAAGGACAAGCCAAGACATATATCAAAGGACAAAAAAGGGAAAGTGGTGAAACAGGGGAAGAAGATTGATGATCTGGTAAAAGGAATTTTTCATAATAATCTCAAACACTTAACTTCCAGTTCATGACCCCTGTAAAACCCGTCCTTATTTGTGCAATGACTGATATTTCCCTTTTCTTTCATGGAAGGAAGCATGACCCGAGGTGTTTTCTACTGAGACCCACGTGTGACCCACTGTCTACCCTACTTTTCTTTCCTATGCCAAAAGCACATCCTCAGTGTTAAAAGCACTGAACCACTTATGCCTCTGGGCTTTTACACTTGCTCTTCTCTCAGCAAGGCATGCTGCCCTGATTTCAGTATGACATCCTCTTATACTTCAGTGATCTCCCTCCCTACATGTTCTCTGATCAGAAGGATCTGCTCTAACTTATTTACAGTGTAACCATTGTTCTCACTTGCTGTTTGTTTGCAATGATTTCTCTTTACTGTGACATAACATCTGACAATCTGTGTTCATAGACGGTAAGAGCAAACCCTTTATCAGATGTGTAAATAGAGATAATAAGTGATTTACAAACCTTGTTTATCATCCATAAACATAGTTGAGATGAAACAATGTATTTAGGGTCCTTTAAAGGCCTTTCCCCTCCTAACCTACAGAATTACTCAAAACAAACCGAAGAAACTTCATCTATCCAATTAATATCGAGAGCAATGGGGTGTGGAAGTGAAGCGATCCACATCCATTGACAAGTTCTGGGGAGTTTTGTTTTTGTAAATGGTGGGATGCCACCTTAGCCTGGAAACATGCCAAGGTCATTGATAAGAGACTAAGGATGTGTTTTATGTGGATGGTACAGAGGAAGGTGGTATGGATATACTCATAGGGTCTCACACATCTTATACCTGGAGAAAGGGAAGCACAGATGAAGTGAATATGAATCTTGAGAAAGATGTTTCAAAATACTTGGAAAGATAATTCAACAATTATCATTGATGATGAATTATGCTACCAACTTGACCATTATCTAGAAACACAACAGCCTAAACAGAAAATTTAAACCTCTAGGCACTTGACATTCACAAGGAAAGTAACAGTTAATTAAATATTCACTATCATGTGTCGAAAGAAAAGATGTGTAAACCACTGCTAGAGAGATGTCCATGTTGTTGGCAAATCAACATAATGTGGAGAAATGGAGGGTTATCCAAGAATTCAGACGTGAAATCATAAGAAGATGAAGGAAATATGGGAGAAGAAAGGACAAAATGTATTAGGTGGAAGAGATGACGTGTTCATGGAAGACACATCATCTTGTATGAGTTTCCAAATGCCAGTGTGGCTGGTGTACAGAAAACTGCTGGGCCTTTCGCATCATGTGAGCCTGTAGTGACCATAAAATATGACACTTCCCAAATTACGTAACTTTGAGGGACTGTTTTCCAAGAGAAAGTAGAAATTATCAATGTTTTCCCATCAGAGAAGAGTGGGGACATATTTAGCTCTGCACTTGAGCTGTGAAATGTTGGATGGATCCAGAGTGGAATTGGGAAGATCAGTTAGGATGCATGCACAGTTGCTCAGGGGAGAGATGGTGATAGCTTGAGGGACAAGGTGATGAAAGTAATGGAGAGCAGCAGGCGAGAGTGAGAGACAAGATGACGTAGAAGGATGGGACGGGGAGTTATACTGGATAAGTGGGAACAAAGAGTGAGCAGCAGAGCTGAGCTCTTTCTTCCTGTAAAGATGATATTGGCTTACTCTTCTCCTATTAAGTTTTTGCTCTTTGATTTTTTTTCTGGGGAAAACTACTGGTTACTGGGTTACAAGAAAGTGGAAGTTCAGCTGCCTGAATAGTAAAAATGGCCTTATGTATAAAGTATATTTGAAGTGGAAAGCGTTTAAATTGACATTAAAATTCCAGTTGGGAAGCACGGACCTCATTTTTCACAAGAGGAATGTCACACTTATAATCACAATGTGTCTTATTTAGGCCCCTGGAAGCTATGATAATGGGCTTTCCGAAGGTAATGAGTTCTCTGTAGCACTAGGCTTATCTAAAATATGGTAGTTTTCTACACATTCACCTAGTCTGGCTTCTTAAAAACTTGAGATGACCAGGATAAGGTATTTCCTGTGCCACTGTAACATTCATCGCTGAGAGTCAACGGATGCAGGCACGCTGCATGCTGTGTCTCTTGTCCTATATCCCCCAGCTAAGCTAATTGATACTGGCAGTTTATGTCTTATTAGGTCACATGGATGGAAATGGCCATCCAGATTGCAAACTGCTGCTGGTGGTCAGTCAGAGGGGGGATCACAGAGTGGAGGCACAGTGATGTTTACATTCTGACCTGGACTCAACTATGGCTCTGTGGCCACAGTCTATGATGAGGAATTCTGTCAGGAGCTTCAGACAAATGAGGCCAAGAAGCAATAAACAAAGAAAAGGCACATCTCAGTAGGTATTAATGTCTTGACAGTTGCCCAAGTTAGGTGGTAAAAGAAAGATCTCCATGAGACAAGTAAGTTTTCCCTTTCTTCTGCACAAGGGAGACAAAAGTAAAGACTGCATGGAAATAAACTTAGACCTACTGAAAGTGTCTATCTGTGGCATGGTCATCATCCATGAAGGGTAATTGATAAAGACTGAGGCTGAATATGAACCAGAAGTGTAATACAGTTAATGGTAGATATTGAAAATAACCAAAAGGCCATTTCCAGTTAGCCCTTGGCTGCAAACACTATGACCCAGATCAGGCACTGATGAATAGCAAGATCTTAGATAGTCGTTATACCAGGTAGATATTACATGATAATGTCTACCCCTGTTTATGACTCATGCTGTGTTATGACTCATCCAAACATGGGGGTGGGGCCTCCACCATTTTTCATTCCATTCAAGATCCAAGCTATACTGAGAGGTGTCAAGAACCTATAGAGGAGGGAAGAGCAGAGCATGCTTTCTGCCATAGGGATATGGAATTTATTTTCACAGCAGGGACACAAGGAGCTAATGTCAAAACATCTGCTACAGAATGCACCCTGAAGGGCAATGTTCAGAGGAGCTAGAGTCCTCTCACGTGGAGGATGACACAACCTCTCCCTAAGCAGTGTCCCATCTGAGGGAGATAGATATGGGAACATGAGCAGTGTCTGACTAAGAGAACTCCCAGGTAGGTCGGCTGACATAGGAGTCAAGTGATGGCACCTCACACATTCTTCTGTCATCAGAGCTCATGAGAACACAAACTCAAAATATCCCATAAGTGAAAGCTAAATACAAGAAAAAAAGATATTAAAAGTCAATTACTACGTAAAATTCCAAACAATAAGGACACAGACAGAATTTTTTTCTTGTGTGAGTGCAGTAAAACTGTTTCTCTAAGTATGGTGAAGCCACAAATTACTGATGTGAAATGGAAAGAGTCGGTTTTCCCAATAGAATGGAAAACTGAAGTTTTGCTATGTTTATTTTCCCAGGTAGTCATCTAAGAGCATTCAATATGAACTCCTTGTAAGTCTAGCTAATTAAAGACAGAAAAAGAAAAGTAGCAAATCAATTCTAAATCCCTGTGATAACAGGCATGATAGAGGTGTACGATGTGAGTTCAGAAGACAGGTGTCTAACATGGACTTATGGCTGAGGTGGGACAAGGATATGTAGCAGAGGAGATAATCTCCTAGTTGATTTTGACAAAGTAAGATTGGGTCACGTGAACAGAAGTCAGGTTGAGAAAAGATATTTGATTGATGTCTTCCACATACCTGAATAAGGTGGGTGCAGCTTTACTGTCCATAGGAGGGCAGAGCAACCACAGAGACTCTCTTGCTCTAACTTCTTTCCCTCATGGGTCTCAGGATCTTGCTATCATACTGCTTCTTCTGAAATCTTATGTGTGTATGTGTGTGTGTGTGTGTGTGTGAGGAAAATTGTCCCTGAATTAACATCTGTTGTTAATGTTCCGCTTTTTGCTTGAAGAAGATTGTCACTGAGTTAAGATCGGTGCCAATCATCGTCTATTTTATGTAGGATGCCACCACGGCGTGGCTTGATGAGTGCTGCTAGGTCTCCTCCCAGGATCTGAATCTCAAACCTGGGCTATGGAAGCACAGTGCATAAACTTAACCACCACTCCACCAGGCCAGCCCCTTCTGACATCTTTTTGTATCATTAACACTAATCAAGTAACTCATTTGGTATGTTAAATTGAGAAAATGTACCATTTTTAGAAAGTTTTCCTACATGCTGCTCTTTCTCCTGATCTCTCAGCTGAGCGCTGTTTCTGGGTGGCAGACATGGCCGAAGGAGAAAGATGATAAGAGTAGCAATTTCTAAGGACCCGCAGCAATTCCCTGTGTCTGGACAAGTGAACAGGGAAAGGCTACAGAGCTTGCCAATAGTCACCCCATCCAGGCTCCTAAGCACAGAGAGGACAAGTGATGAGAATTGATCTACAGAGTCATACAGAAATACTGGATTGTTACACTGATAGGCATTAAACTATTAGGATTCAAAGATCCCTCTGCCTTTGCTTCTGTTTTGGGGGAAAAAAGACTAGCTACCTCTGAAAAATCCAGGAGTCTGGCTGTTGTCAGCAAGCAACAATTCAATCTTAAAGAACTAGTAGGAAATGAGCATAAATTCAGCCTGAAGAAATAACAGTCTCTTCTTGAAACAAATAAAGCCTTTCACTTCTCTAAACTTCCCTTCTTTTAAAACCACTCTTCCCCAAACAGCACTTCAGTCAGCAAGCACTCTCAGCAGGAAGCCTGCATGCAGGGCCTGTATCCACCTTCAGAACAGCTTCCTGAGGACAAATCTAACTCACCCTTTCACGTAAAATCTTTTCTGCAGAAGTTGCCCAACCTCTGCCCTCCAAAACTACTCAGCTCACCTCCAGACACCAATGGAGAAGCCGTGATTTCTTGGAGAAGAGTGAAGGTGAAGACAGGCCAGGGAGAGAAGGTCAGGATTCACTCACCAAACCAGTGGCCTGAATTACACAAGGAAGAGCAAAATGAGCCAAGTGAAAATGAAAGTTAAATTCTTAGGGTAGGGTAGAAAAGCAGAAGGGAAACAATGGACCAATGGCAGCTCTCCATGTCAGGCCTCCGGGAAATGACAAGGCTTTTTTGCCAGGACCAGATGGGCTAGAAACTACATGCTTATTCCTGTCTTAGTTCTAGTCCTGGAAGCTGTTTCATGGCTCTTCAACATACTTCCTTCTTTGGAGCACTAGGCTCACCTAGGACTTCAAATTTCACACACGTCCACCTCATCTGGGTTCCTCACAAATGAGCTGTCTCAAGGCTGGAATAAAGTACCTCCTTCACTCAGCGAGGACCCGCGCCGAAGGTCCACTTGAGGCAGCCACACCAGCACCGTCCTGGATTGCAGCTGCAGCCCAGGTAAATGCATCTGGCCAGTCTGTGTCCTGTTATATTACGAGACAGGGAAAAACTGTCAAAATCTGAAATTATCTTAAGTGGTCAGTCAGAGGGCTCTGGCAGTAGAAGCACAGTACTGATGACTTTCAGAACCTGGGTTCAATAAGGCCAAAATGAGACTTTTCAAAAATAGACTGGGAAGATGAGACTGTCTGAACTGTCATATGTTTGACACTGCCATTTAATACTATTCAACATGGAACCCTGTATCTGAGCGCAATAAAAGTAAGGCTGGAAAATAACCATGAAGGCTAATTTTCAGTGTCAACTTGACTGGCCACAAGGTGCCCAGATTAAACATGATTTCTGGGTATGTCTGTGAATGCGTTCTTTCCAGATGAGAATAGCATTAAATCTGTGGACTCAGTAAACTAGATTGTCCTCTCCATTGTGGATGTCCATCATCCAATTTGTTGTGGTCTATATAGAACAAAAAGGTAGAGGAGGAAAGAATTTGCCCCTTTTGCTTCGTGCGTGCCTGTTGGACCTGGGACATGGTTCTTCCCCTGCCCTTCAACCAGGACTTGCAGCGTTGGTTACCCTGGTTCTCACACTGTCAGACAGGGTCTGATTGCACCACCAGCCTCCCTGGGTCTCCGACTTGCAGACAGCGGATCCTGGAAGTTCTTAGCCTCCAGAATGATGTCAGCCAATATATTATATATATGTATACATAATTAATATATTTTTATATATTGTATCTATATTAAAATATGTGTAAATATTATATTTATAAATAGTTATACATTTTATAAACATGGATAAATATTTATAATTGTACATTATAAATATAACTATTTATATATTATAAACGTTATACAAATAAATGTAAATATGATATTTATCACATAAATATTGCATTTATAAATATATAAAATATATATGTAAAATATTGGTTCTGTTTCTCTGGAGAACAAAGTCTAATATAGGAAAGAGAGAATTCTGAAACTGTGTTAATGGCACACATGAACTGTGATAACGACACAGATGAGCTGCGCTGTTTCAAAAGCCGTGTGCTTAGAAAAGACTTGGAGGGCTTAAGGGTACAAGGAGGATGTTGTAGACATGATAATGCCTGAAGTCAATTTTAATGCATAAAATCACACCACATAAATGGATGTCAGCTTCAAAAAAGAAAGAACTTTGACTCGGATGTACCATCTGAGTAAGTGTATAAGCGGTGCAGTCTGCCTTTCACAGCAAGAGAGACACACCTATTTTAACCCCTTTTTCTCATGGGTCTCAGGATCTTGGCATCATGCTACTTCTTCTGATATCTTTTCACATTAGTAACACTAATCAAACCTCTCTTTTTTTTTCACTAAAAGTTGTAAAGATGCCTCTTATGGAAATTCTTCCTACCTGTTGCTCTTGCTCCTGATCTCTCCCCTGAGTTCGGTTTCTGGGTGCCAATATGGCCCAAGGAGAAGGGGGAGCAAAGTTAGTGGTTTTGAGGAGCTTAGTGGATTCCTGAGTTTGTACTTGGAAATCTGCTAGGACTAGTAAACACAGAAGAAGCTGCAGAGCAGGGCAGCTGTCACACCATTCAGGCTCCGAACCCAGAGAGGACAGGGAACTAGGATTATTTTGAAGGCATGCAGAAATCTTACAGTATTACACTCATAGAACTTGACTTACTAAGGTTCAAAGAACCATCTGACTTTCCCCTATTTCTTCCTCACAGGATCTTTGTCATCCCCGGGCTGGGCCAGTTATAGCACTCTTCTCTGCTGCTCTCTGTGCAGAACTGGTCCAGCTGCCTGGGCTGTGGCCCGTGGAGACACCATAGGCTCTCTCTCTCTTGAGAATCCTTTGCTAAGATTTCTCAGGAAGTTCTTGCTGGAATTAGGACTACTGCTAGAGATGAGGTATCAGTGACGATACCGTGACTTAAGAAATGAAAACGCGCAAGTGGAAGGCAATCGAGAGAACTGCAGTGGGGAGCCTGGTGTTCTCACTAACACCATCATTAGTGATCTCCACCCCACCCCTCATTTCACCCCCAACTGTAAGTGTCATGAAGTCAGGTAGGGACTTTCCCTCTTTTGTTGCTTAATGCTTCAGATCTATTAGAAGTTGTTACATATAAGCAGTGACAAAGAGGTAGATATACAGACTTAAAGCTGTAAACATCATTTTAACTGAATTGAACATCTGGATGACAAATCATGCTTGTATTCTACCATTCTTGATATGAAAATAATTGCAGTGGTACATAATGCAATTCTCCTATTCTTTTGTTATTATCAACGGATATATGATTCTCCTTTGACAAATTTTAACCAATAGTTTTTCTATTTCCTCTTTTGTTCCTAAACTTGACTCAGATTGGTGTTCGATCTGTCTCAAGTACCACATTTTAACCACATTAACTCTTCTTTTGTTTTACAGTGTTCTCTACCAAGAAAACATTAATCATCCATGGGCTGAGGGGAGATATTTCATTAGATTCCTTTCTAACCAAGAGCTGTAATGACTGGAGCAGAAACAGAGCCCTAAGCAGGATCTTTTTCCCTCGTAACTCAGAACATGATAACCTGGAATGCCTACCACATAGCAACATGATGAGCTCTGGTGAACACTTGTGTGTGTTGAGAGGGGCTTGGTGAATTCAGGTTTCCCACTGGCCCACGTTGTCAGGTATCTTCACGGGACATGATATGGCTCAGCTGCAAACCTAATGTTTTTTAGGAAATTCCCAACATATCAACCAAAGATATGGGATCAGCTCAGAGATTCAAAGGGAGGTGAGAAAAAGGGTGAATATTGAGGAAGGATTGGTAAGAGAGGAAGTATTGCACAGAGAAGAGGTCTTTGGAGAAGGGAGCTCATTTCTTAAGAACATTGCAATCAATACTGCTAATACCGTGCTTGTCACACAACATAGCTACCCTCTGAGGTCTACATTCACCTCCAGTTTCAATCATATAGCATACCTAAAAAGACATCTATCTTAATATCTCTGCATTAACTACCATACTTCATGCCATCATTGCTGAATATGCAAAAGAAGCAAGACTGATGTTCTGTTTCCGCTAAAGGATGTATTCATTCTAACAAACCAGGACCCTAAACCAGAGATCAGCATTATAAACCATGGACAAATGCAAAAGAAAAGAAAGAGAAGAAGAAGAAAAGGAAAGGAAACTAAACGTAAAGGCACTAGAAAGTGACAAAAGTGGTCAGAAACTACAGTGTAATAGACACTTGGAAGAAGGGAACAGTATTAGAGGAGTTTTCTGGTTTTATGGCTTGTCATCTTAAGGCAGACCTCAATTGGCAGTGGATTGCACAGTTCAAGATCAGTTAGCAACATACAGACTTGATGGCTTGAAGAACATGAAGAATGATTTGGGACTGCCATCAGCTGGAAAGTGGTGGAGAATATCAAAGAGATACAGAGGAAAAGACTCCAAAATGTCCATGTAAACTATAACCAAATCCCTGAAACACATCTGTGAGAGAGATGCCAAGCAGGGCTAACAGGACTGAACAGAGATTTCAGCTGCTGCAAAATGCAGGGGAGAATGAAGAATTTGAGTTTAACCAAGTTAAGCACCTGAAAAAAAAATATCCATCTGGCAGATAAACAGAAGCCAGAGTCTCTAAGTCTCATTCACAATTCCCCTGGGGTATTTTAGATCCAATCTAAACCACTCAACTTACAAAGATACTGGCCAACGTGGCTTCTCCTCAAGACAAAGGCAGTTAATGGAGACCAAGTAAAAACAATCTAATGTTGTATTTCATAGACAAGGACTTCACAGCCACTATTATATCTG